TCCAGCAGGACCGGAAGAGGGCATTACCCTCTTGGGCCCAACTGGGCTGAGATGCGGGGCCTAGCTGGTAGGTCCTCCTTCCCATGACACTCCGGGCAGGGCATCGTGAGCTCGGCTAAGCTCAGCGTCTTGCGCTTTTTTCCCAGTCTTCTGCTTCTTCCTGGCCTCTCTAGTTTGGTCTTTTGCCACAATATTTGTTCGAGATCCTTTCTTTTTTTTTTATTAAGGTATAAAGATATACAGTAAAATAAAAAGTCGAATGTTCAACAAATTTTGGCAATTGCATACATCTCTGTTATTACCACTCAAATCAAAATATAGAATATTTCTAGCCACCCAGAAAGTTCCCTTGTGGTCCTTTGCAGACAACTCCCCCTTTCTGAATTTCATATCCATGGATTAGTTTTTCCTGCTATGAACTTCATATAAGCGGAATTGTATAGCCTGTCCCTTTCTTTTTTTTATTTCCTAGAACAACAATAACAAAAATGTGTGGATATAATCTAATTTTTTTCTCTACCAACGTGTCAAAAGTTAACATCCCCAAATGTTTGGCAGTAGCCTCTGAGTTAGAGGGAATTTGGGTGATTGTTACTGACTTCTTTGCACATTCTGGTATAATATTAAAATATACGTATAATTTTTAAATAATGAAGGGGAAAGCTTTTTACAGCAAGGAGGGACACAGCTCTTGTGGAGTAATTGAGTGAGGTACAGAATGGGCCCAGTGAGGGATGCTGGACCTTTCAAAGGCAGAGAGCATCCTTCCTTGAAAGGCTTTTCATGGCCGCGGTGTATGGTGGTGGGACTTGGTATATCACCTCGTGATCAGAGACCTCTCTTGTCATTTCCTGTTTGGATTCTTGATTAACTCTTTGAACAGAAAACCACTTGTTCAATGGATTCTTCCTGCCTCAAACTCTTTATATATTAGGAAAGAGAAAACACTGAGGATTAAGCTGAGGATTAAAAATACTATGAAAGTCACTAAAGGATACACACACACACACACACACACACACACACAATCGCAAACATATACATATAATTTTAAAACCTTGATGACACATTGGAGTTTTAGTGGAACTTGTAAGGCAAACGGTAATGGAGCAACGCAAACAATTGCAGGTAAAAGCTACATCCCCCAGTCTCTGAATATCATCTGACTACAGATAAGGAGTACATTTTTGTTTCCTTGCTGGCTTGTGGTATAGATGGGCACACATGGAATGCAGATAAGAGAGGCATACTTGCAGAGGAAGTTTGGAATACTAAAATGAGATTTGCAGGAACAAACACTCAACATGAAAAAGAGAAAACAACGAAGCAATTTCACAACAGAACCCAAGACCGAGCTCCATTGGCTAAGTGGTCCCATATGTGGTAATCTAAATGCTAGGAGGCTTGAAGTGGGCAGGCTAGGAGGTGCCAGGGCTCTGTGCAGACTACCTAGGCAGTGGGCAATTGTGCACCCTCGCTTAGACCATTCCCAGCTCTTTAAAATGGGATTACGACAGCAGTGTCTACTTCCTAGAGATGATGGGAGAGGTGACTGAAGGGAGGTGTGAGCAAGCACATTGTAAACCACAGGAGCTATCTGTATGCTGACTGTCTACCTTCGCTTCTGGACCCGGGATAACTGCTCCAGAGAGGATGTGAGGTCCAGGGTCTGCATGCTATGATCACTGATTTCTTTTTGTGTGTGTGAGACTAAAAAGCAAAGTGTTAACTCTCTCCGCATCCTGTGGGCCTTTACCTCCTTGCTGGGGAAAGGGAGCATTTGATTTTTAAAAAATTAGAGGTGAAGGGAAAAAGGAAAAGCTACTGGAGTCTTACAGACCTGAGTCAGAATCCTGACTTTCTCGTGTACTGGCTGTGTGTGTGACCTCGGGTGAATTCCTTAACATCTCAGAGGCTCGGTTGTCTCATGTGAAAAATGGAAATAGCCCTTAATGGATTCAATGGATTACTTCAATGGATTGCTAGGAGGCCTGGATGAGATAAGTCCTTGTAATAGGTGCTTAGCACAGTACCTGGGACAGGAGCCATCAGTGATACCAATGGATTATGTCTCATGTGAAATGCACTGGCAGCAGATGAGAAATAAAACAAACCGTATCTTCTTCTCAGCACACCTGAACAGCTGCCTTTTAAACCGGGGTCAGAGGGCACAAAGCAAGGCACAGAAAGAGGGAACTCTGCTGTTTACATCATTAGAATAGAGTTCTCCACCACAGTAGACATGGACAAGATGGATAACCTGGGTAGAGAAGATGCTACAGATGGGTCAGATGTACCCAAGCCTGTCGGGCAGTGAGCCACAGCCACATGGTTGGCACTGTTATTCACTCCTCATCTGGAAGGCTTGGCCCCATGTGCATGTTCAGATTCCTCCCCACATGGCTGGGCCCAGAGACTTCCGGCATGGCACGCAGGCGGAGCAGGCATTGGTTGGTTTGTTTTTAGAACTAAGAGGACGCTCTCTTCCATCTTTTTCTCTCTGCCCCATTTCAAGCCTGGGAGCCCTTCAGGGACAGAGCAGGAGGGGGGACACAGCCTGCATGTCCTTAGAAACCTTTCCCCAAGCTCAGGGACTGACCAGGTCGGAGCCAGGACCTGGTTTCCTTGAAGGTTGAGTTTTGTTGGAAATGACTGGTCTGGGTTTCAGCCAGGTTTCACTGTTTTCTTTCTACAAAGATGTTCACAAGGTAACCATTGATAGTGGGAGGGCGTGCTTTTAAGAAATAAGCATACCCTGACAGTCTCTCCCTCTTTTTTTTTTTTTGTTTTTGGTACGGGGGATCGAACTCAGGACCTTGCGCTTGTGAGGCAGGCAGTGGAACCACTGACCTAAATCCCAGGCCCTCTCCCTCTCTTCCTTCTCAGTGGGGCCTTCTCCCTCACCGCCTCCCAACCCCAAGGTCTCTGAATTACCACTCTCCTGTTTACACTGTAAAGTTAGTTCACATTGCTCATTTCTGATCTTCAGTTGGCTGTACCTGAACCCCTCCTCCCCTTTCTTTTCCTTCTTCCTTTTCCCTCCTTACACTGAAACCCTCTTGGTTCTGGCCTTTTAAAGGGATGATACCTTGCATATCTGAAATCTGATTTTTTTTTCTGGCCCACCTGCCCCCTGCCCGCTGGCAGAACTCCTGATGGCCTGGGTGAGCCATATTCAGGTCATAATCCATATGAAAAGCAGGCCGCAGTAGAGACCATCTGATCTGTGAGTCAGGACGGTGTTTTCCTGGCTAGGGCTCTGAAGGGCTGCAGGAATGCTTGCTCCTCCACCCACTGGGCACTGGGAGCCTGGTAGTTTGTGGTCTGGAGCCCAGAAACTGGGTGACAGGCCTCCCAGACGCCTCAGATGGTCATATGCCACACTCTCCAAATTCATTTTTAATTCATGACATCAGTTTCGGAAACTTCTGAACCTCTAAATGACTGCTCTCAAAACCAAAACTACCACAAGAACACGGAAGGGAGGCAGCTTCTGGGTTCAGAACATCCTCTCCTCAGTCCCCAGGGACAGGGCATTTGGAAAACCATTTTCCAGAGGGGACCTGCTGTTCCCCATGGCAAAGTCACCCTTGCCTTGCTTTTTTCTAGAGCTGAAATCAGACCCTATAGTATTTGTTATAAAGATTTAGCTGGTCACAAAGTGGTTTTGATTAGGACTTTATAAAGTTACATTGAAACAATAAACTCTGTATTTGCAGGCATAGTAAAGGCTTCCCTAAAGACCTACACACACACACACACATACAGACACACACACACAATAAATATATATCTCCAGATTGTACACAGCATATATAATGTTTAATGAAACATGTTAAATAAATAACTATAATGTAATAGTTCTTATAGGAGCTAAATGTTATATATTAAAGACTTACATGATGAAACTATACAATCCATATTATCTGTCAAACAACATGTAAAACAAACAGACCATTTTATGCATTACGTATATGAAATGGAATGCCCTTCTTTTGAAAGGTCCAAGCTACTGTCCTGGAATGCCAGCTCACCACCTGGTGCCCCCAAGGGAGGAGAGAAGCAGCCCATGGTCCCTGGTCTCCCAAAGCTCATGCTGCACCTCAGCCCTTGCTCCATCCAGCCCTCTCCCTAACTGACAGATATCTTTGAGGAAAAGATCCCAAAAGATGAATTCCTCACTGGGGTCATGGAGTTAACATTATCTCTTACAGGTGGGTTGGACTTCAAGTGGGAATAGGATGCAGATGTCATAAATGGCACAAGGGCATGCTCTGGACATCACTGCAAGCCCTGTGTTTTGGGCGTTTGGTCCCCAGCCCTGAAGCCTCAGGGTTCTGTCTCAGCCACCTAAAACAATGCAGCAAGCCATTTTCCACACAGGCATTTAGAGGCAATTTGAAAATGGAAACGGATTCGTATGCAAAGCCCTTTACAGCCGCAGATGGGCTGCGAGGAGGCGATTCAGAACAGGGTAAAATGCACAGTTAGAACTTTGATATTAACCTCGCTTTTGCAAATGAAGCAGCTTAATGATAATTGCTGCCCACGTTTGCTCTTCCCAGGCAGGGAAAAGCAGAGAAACATTTTGACAGAAACGTTACCCTAAAGGGTGACACTGCTTAAAAGGGGGAAAACATCTCTGGGTTCGATGTTGTCTTACTAGCAACCGGAAACAGTATGTGGGAATTCGTTCTTCTCCTGCTACCTAGAAGAGGAAACTCAGACTCATTTGAAAGATGGGACTGGGTGTTAACAGAGAGGTTTTCTTTTTTCTTTTTTCTTTTTTCTTTTTTCTTTTTTAATGGGAATAAGCAGCACACCTCCTTGCGGCGGCCCCAGGACCCGGGCGACTGTCCTACAACCCACAGTTCCCAAGTCCGAGGCCCAGGCGCCAGCCCACGCCAGCGCCCGGGGTCTTGGCCCCGGGGCGCGCCGCCGCGAGCAGCTTTTATTTGTCCTCTCTTTAACTCCCTGTTTCTGGTTCTTTTCCCTTGCAGCGCCCTGCCGCGGAGAGTTAAGACAAGCCCTGTCGTCTGTGGGCTCTCACCTCAGAGTCAATATTATCTCAGATGGGCACAATAGACTGGAATGAAAAGCTAATATTGAACCAACGCGGTCCCTGCCGCGCCGCGCCGATGCCACCCTTTGTCGCGCAGCCCCCGGTGAGCGGCGGGCGGCCCAGCTAAGCGGAGGGCGGCGGCGGTCGGGCCTCTTCGGGTTCCTGCCGAGGGTGGGGGTTCACTTCTGCCCGGGAGGAGAGATCCGAGGCCCAGGCGGCTTGCAGCTGCTGCAGGCCCCCAGCCCCCTCGGGGCCCACTCGGGGCCTCTCCTTCAGCTGCCAGGGTCAGGGGCAGGCTGGGAAGCCGGGGGGGGGGGGGCACAGGGGGAAGCCGGGTGCGCGGCGGTGCTGGTGCCCAGACACAGAGGGCGAGCAAATAGGTGCAAAGCGGGAAACGAAGCCCAGTGTGTGCAACCTTCAGGCGCCAGGGCCCCGGACACGGTGTGTCACCAGCATCGGGACTAACAGGAGGGCTTCTTTCCGGACGCCTAGGGGGCTCCAGGGCTCCTGCCGGGGGCAGCAGCTCCGGGAGGAGGGGGTTTTATTGTGTGCGAGCGCCTGTGTGTGTGTGTGTGTGTGTGTGTGTGTGTGTGTGTGTCAGACCCTCTGTGAGGCTCCCGGGAAACTCCCAGGGGCTGCGCGCCCCTCTCGGCCCGGCGCGCTCAGAGCAGGCGCAGAGGGGAGGGCCGCTGTGCTTCAGTCTCCTTGTCCTCGTAGTCGTCCTGGTCGTCCTAGACTGCTCTGTTCTGCGGCCACCATCGGAGGTTTCAGGTCCGCCTTATGTGTCCCACACAAGTAACACCAGGCACTGGGCGCACCCCAGTCTCTGCAAACGCCACGCAGTGCTTCCCCCCTGGCTCTTCAGCTCCCAGCCTGTGGAGACGCCGCCCGAAGCCCTTCAATTCTGAATCCTGGGCTCGGGTCCACAAGGGGCAACCTGGGAAAAAGCAAGTGGGCACAGGGCAAGCGCCAGATTTACAACGACCTAGGGCTAATGGGAAGGGCCTTCCTTGCAAGCTGTACAAGTGTGGACTTTGCCTTTTCTCCTTGGCTGGAGAGCAGGCTCTGCAGACTCCACGATATCCAGGGCCAGGAGCTGGGGGATCTATTTAGTGGCTGTGCAACTTCTCTGAGCTCCAGTTTTCTCACCTGGGAAATGGGTATCAACGCCAGACTACGGCCTGTGTTACACCCAGAGCATGGGTGTGAACAAATATGCTTAAAGTGAAAACTCCATACAGCTGAGAGGAACTGTCTGTGTTCTCTAGTTCTTACCCTATCATTCTCACTGTTCTGAAGTGCAAAAGAAAAAGCTTCAACTTTCCTCTTCAGATGCCAGTGGCTCCTCTCTAAGCCTGGCCTAACCCTTGCAGTCCAGAAAATGGGGAGGCGCTAAAAGGCAGGATTAAGTTTCCAGAGAGGACTGCCAGCTAGCTGTGTTTCAGGACTTGTAGGTTAGAAGGAAGTTTGCTGCTCTAATGGAAGCCTGAGGAGCCCCTCTGGTTGCCAGGCAAGGGCTGAACTCCAAGCCAGGGGCTGCTCTTGGTGGTTAGGGAGCAGTCTCAAACAGGAAGGTGCCAGACAGCCAGAAGAGGCTGGAAGGTACTGTACTGTAGACCCGTACCAGGTGCTCCTGGTGCAGCAGGAGCCCACGGTGCCTGATGGAGATGCAGCTTTGGTGCCTGATGGAGATGCAGCTTTGGGGCAATTCGAGAAGGTGCCACACTGGGATCTACACACAGCTCCAGGAAGAGTGCAGGGGACACAGGGATGTCTATGCCTCAGCGAGGCAGTCACCCAGCAAGTGTGTTCCCTGGCCCCCTCGTGCCTGTCTTCCCTTGACTATCCTTGCTTCCTCTTAGCTTTCATTTGAAGGCAGCTGAGAGAGAAATAAACTACCACCTCCCCACCTTGATTTTGTTTCTTTGCTTTCAACAGTAAATCAGGATGGGGTATGTGGAGAGACTGACAGTTTTGATGTGATGAAGGAGGTAAAACTCAGTGGTCCTGCATGTGCCTCCTGGAGCTGTGCAGAATTCCCGAGGAAACGTTGACTCTCAACAGGAATATCAAGGGAGATCCCGAGGCTCACGGCTCTCCGCTGGCATCTGGACAGTGCCTGTCTCCTGCAGCCACCCCGGGCAGCAGAGGCCGGGACCAGCGTTGAGATCCGCCTGCCAGGACTCGGCCCCTCGAGGTCGGCACCCAGAGCAGTAAGGCAGAAGGCCGTCGCTGCCCCTTCACACCACACGGTTTTCCAGCAAATACCGAGCTGATCCCACCGCCTATGCCCGAGGAGAGCAAAGCAGGGTGCCCTGGGAAGGTGGGATCCGCGCACTCCAGAAGGCAGGGGCGCATCATCAGGGCCCATCTGGGCAGCCCACCAGTCCCCGTGGGATCAGTTGCTATCTCCGCAATAATTAGACCCTCTGTCTGGGGGCGTTCCCCGCCAGCCGCAAGGGGGCGCGAATCCGGGAGCGCTGCTACCCCAGCCTTCCCACTCCGGCACGACTAGGGCCCCGCGGAACTTCGCGGGCTCATTCTCCGAGCCACCGTGGTGGGGCAGGGGGATCCGAGACTGTGGGCATGGAGTTACGGCCGCCTTTGCATGATAGCTGGCCGTTGGCCCGGGTTAGGTGGTCACCACCACCCAGTTCTTCTTAAAGCAGAATCTGTCCCCTCCTTTCCGCCGCCCAATTCGCTGGAAATGCACTGGAGGATGAACTACGGAGCGGAAAGCTGGGTTGAAGCAGATACATTTCCAAGCCGTTCACTCTCCTCGGTAGTCAGGAAGCCTCCTTAGACTTCCTCCTCTAGGTTGGACTGTGGTCTGCGAGAGCGTGGAAGTGGGGCGCAACCGCCCCACTCGTCCGGCGCGAGGGTTCGGGATTCCTAGGGCACCGCGTCCTCACGGCTCCCTCGCCACTAGGCGCCGCTGTGCGCACGCCGATCGCGGGCCAGGGCCGCCGCGTCCGCCGGGCGAGGCCTCTGGGTGGTGCTCCAGAAAAGGATTTGCCGTAATAAGATTTTAAAAAAATGTTTTAAAGGTATTTATTCTACTTTTCCTTTTCCCATAGCCGCCCGAAGAGTTTGGAGAAGCGGAGTGACTGGGAATCACAGTGAATTACCGAACTTCCTAACTTGCCTCCCCGTCTCTGGTCACCTTTTGCCAGCCTTGGACCCGGGAGAGGGCTCACCCTTCGCCGGCAGCCGGCAGCGGCGCTTCCCGCGCGGCGCCGCTGACGCACAGTGAAGACTCAGAGCTTTGGCTGGTCCGGAGACTCCAAACCCGGGTGACCTGGGTATGGCGCGGTGCTCATGGGCCAGAGCGCACAAGGCTCGGGTTGCAAATGCTGTAACTAAAATGTGATGAGCGCAAACAGTGTGCCAAGCTCACCTATTCAACAACCATTAAGATATTGATATTTCCTTTTCACGGAGGCGACAGCCAAGGCTGGAGAAAATGGAATCATACAGCCCTGAACCCAGAGGACTCCTACGCACCCCCAGTCAGGGCCCACTCCAGAGCAATGGGAGAGGGAGCGGGCCCTCGGGCGGCTGTTCCTCGGAAGTGTAAGGGCCAGACAAACTCCGAGCAGCGAGCAGCGGTTCTCAGAGCTCCCCAGGAATCTCTGCCCTTTGTCGCTCCAGTGAGCTAGGACTCCAGGCTCCTCTCACCCTGGCACCTCCTAAAGGAACTTCAGGGCCTCTGCTGGAGCTTGGAGCAGCGTCAGACCGGCGTTAACTCATTTGTACAACTTGATTGTTCAGTCTTTGAAGACCAGCATCTTGCCTTGTGTGGGTAGACAATAACAGCCACATCCAGGACAGGAGCTTTTACTGAAGATCATTATGTGCCAGGCATTGTCTGAACGCTTTAGTTTTTCTCATTAAATAATTCCAAGGATCGACATACTAGTCCTTATTCCCATTCGAGGGAAGAAGAACAGAGGCACAGAGGGGTTAAGTAACCTGACCAAGGTCACACAATAATTCTGTGAATACAAGTCTCTCTTTTTTTTGGAGGGGGCAGTTTTATTAAGATGTAATTACACACAGTAAAATTCACACTTTGCACTGTTCATGGAGTTCTGAGTTTCCAAAACCACAGTGGTGTGGATAGCATCAAAATCAGAAAGTAGAGACTTTGGATTACTCATCCCCTTCCCTGACAGCGTCACTGCTACCCTCTCCAGCTTCTCAGGCAGCATTGGCTGTATTTCTGCACATGACAAAATGAGGTCGGAGAGGTTGTGGTGTTGCCCAAAATCCTTCAGTTAGTAAAAATTCCGGGAATGGAACCATTGTATGTGTCTGCTGGTCCAGCTGCCTGCAGAGTCGAGATTCCTGAGTCTACCAAGGAAGGAAGGAAGCCCCGATGCAGGCACAGATACTTAACCAAATACCCACTCTCTGGATGGCTTAGGAACAAAAGAGGGTCGGATTCTGAGAGGCCCAAAGCCATGAGCAAAGTAAGCGGCAGGCCCATGACCTGAGAGCTCAGGGTCTGAGTCCAGCCCTGAGCGCCCAGCCTCCTCTGGCCAGTGCAATTAATGAGTTACTCTGCTAGTTAATGTCCACTCACGGAGGGCCCAGCAGCGCCCTGGGGCCCGAGCTTGGACTCAGACCCTGAGCTTGGAGCAGAACTGGCTAGCTTTTCCTCCTTCAAAAAGGTGGGCACCTCCCTTGCTCTCTCCCACCTGCCCACCAGCCAGAGACCTGGAGCAATCCTGGCCTTCGAAGGGCAGTTTCCAAGAGGTAGGTGGCTTGTGGAGGATGCCACAGGACCTGACTTGGCCCTTGAGCCATCTCTCATCTGCTCTGCCAAAATTTTCCCCCAGAACAAGAGGTTGAGAGGCCCGGTCACCAGCTGGCTCCCTTAGAACACTTGCCCAGTGTCCTGGCTAAAGAGGTGAAAGCTACCGGTTACACCTTAAGGACCCAGTGCTGAACATTTTACCTACATTTACTTACCACACACTGCTGGGGTCTCACCAGGACTGTAGTCCCCTTGGTCAATGACTTTTATACCCCCAGCCAACATTGCTAATGCCAACTGCAATAAATGGCCATTTCCCGCCCCATGATCTGGGCGGGCTTTCAGTGGCCTTGGTTTGGAGCACTGGAGGCTGAATGCTGAAGCCTGGCTCTACCCTGCAGTCCTACAGAAGATCACACAGAAAAGTGGCCTCTCTCTCTTACCTCAGGATCCTGGTTGCAGTCTGCCCAAACTGGGTGTTTGTTTCCAGCTTCAGAAACTCTAGGACTGACTCCTATCTCTACTGGAGCTTGCTGGCCCAAAGACCTCCACCCTTCACTTCATGGGGACTTCAAGGCTCCTTGCTGGCGCAGGCAAGTGGTGCCTCTGTCTCCACAGCCTAGTCAGGGGTACTGCCTGCCGGGCCCGGAGAAAGTATTTTGGGGGATGACGGTCCAGGCCTGAGGAGAGTAGTCTTTGGGTTCACCTGCATGCCAAGGTGCTGGACCCAATGCTCAGAATCTGAGTGTGGAAAAAAAGGTCCAAAGCATGGCCACCTGGAACAAAGAGGGAGAACTCAGGCAGGGCCCCAGCCTGGAGCCATGGTGCAGAGGTCCAAAGCCTGAGGCAGCAGCCAGTTTATCCCACAGTGAGGCCAAAGCTGAGGACCACAAGGATCCCCAGAGTAAATGTGTGTGTGTGTGTGTGTGTGTGTGTGTGTGCACCCGCATGCTTATGTGCCCTGAAAAGATCGAGGGGTACAAGACAGGTGATCTCTGGAGCTCCCAGCTAATCTATTTGGAACTCCAACAACACCAGAAAGCACCTCTCCCAACTTCTCTTTTGTCTGGAAGGTTTCTCAAGGATGTTTCTGGTCATTTCCCCCTCCTCCACACAACACAGTACAGTACCTGGAATAAAGTCAAGAAATTGGTAGAACCAAATACATAGCAGTGGATGAGACCAGTGGAGGTAAAGAGAAGACCAGAGGGCAAGGAATGGAGAAGCTGGGGGACCCTGGAGCATGTCCTAGGACTCCTGATCCTTGGTTGAATCTGGTGGAGTTGCGGCTTCCCTTTTGGGGTCTGTACTTCTGATAGACTTCTCCCAGGTCTCACAGCAACCTAGCCAGGAAACACAGGCATTTCTTCCTCCTTAAAATAAATGACCCAGGCCTGGTTGTAATAGATTTAAAAGACGCCAGCATTTTTTATTATTAATTGCAAAATACCTGCTGGTACTTCACTTTATAAGAATGTAATTGGCAAAAGGGAGGGGGAGAGGAAAAAAGAGGCGGCTGATGAATAGATAATAGATCTTTAACCACCAATAAACAGAGAGCAGCGCCAGCAGCCTGGGGGATGTGATCATAATTATGCCACAGCACGAGCCAATGGGGACCGAGAACTCGGCCCTAAAATCATCCCAAAACTGAAGGCGAGCTCGAAAATGCGGACACGGCCTGGAACTGGAGACGCGATCTGCAGTCTCTAGTTGAGAGTCCTGGATTTGCACTGCAACCCAGCCCTGGGACAACAGATGGCAGAATAATAATAGAAATAATAATAACAACAGCAAGAGCAGCAGTAACAGTAACAATGTCAGCACTAATACAAACAATAACGACCACGAAATAATAATAGTACCGCATCAGCTTCTCCCTTGTCCTAGGAGCCTGGATCCCAGTGGCCCACGAGGAATTGTTTTAGGGAACAAGGCGAGCACCCTCTCAGACAGAAAAAGCGGGAGGCTGTGCAGTGAGGGCGGGTGTGAGTTGGAGTAGGAGGCCCACGCCTACAGGGTTGGCAGCTCCCGCGTCCCAATTCGCAAACGAACGAGCCGGGTCAAGGAAAGCGAACGCGCAGACTCTGCGACCTCTGAGCTACCGGTGGTTGGGGTGGGACACTGGGACCCCCCACACACACACCGTAGGGAATTTTGCTGGGGTGGGGATTGGTCCAGTCTAACGGAGCCTTTAGCCCTCGCCCGGAGCCATTCCCCACCCGCTTACCCGCGCAGAACCCCCGGGCGATCTCGGCTCCACCGACGCGGGCCGCGGAGGGCAGCAGTGGCAGAGCGGCGAGCGAGAGGAATCTCCGCGTCTGTCTGTCCGTGTGTCCTACCAGCTCCGGCGCAGCGGGCTCGGGTCCCGGGGCCCGCGTGGAGGCAGGCGGCCAGGCCCGGGGAATCTGCAGGGACCCTGGTGCCCCAGAGGGAGTGGTGCTGGTAGAGGAGGAGGCGAAGGCTGAGGGGGAGG